CAAAGTAAACAATTTAAGAATAAACTTAATCATATAAACAAATTAAAATCCTAATATCTAAACAACACAATATCATAAATTTTCCACTATACTAAACTATTAATGATAATAATAATAATAACAGTAATAATACTCTAAAATTTACTCATAAAATAAATGGAACTTTTTAGTCCCATATTTATTCTGAATATAATCTATCCATTTCCTCCAAACTGAAATGTATCTTTCTTGTGAGTAATCCTTCAGATAAGCAGAAATCTTAGCCATTTCTGCTAAGTTTGACACTTTAAGTGTCCATTCTTCTATAGTAGGCAAACAATCCTTCTTCCAATATTGCCCTACCAACAGCCCTGCTGCTGTTATTAAATTCAACATCAAGTTAATTTCTTTAGCATCAACATCTACTATAATACCCAACAAAAATAGTTGAGGAGTAAATTTTATCTTTCTTTTAAAAATATTCTGAATGTTCCACCAAATTTTAATCCAAAAAGCTTTTACATTTCTACAAGTCCACCAAATATGAAAATAACTTGCATCCAAACTACCACATCTCCAACATTTGGGCTGAAAGTTAGGATACATACGAGACAACTTTTGGGGATCGAGATGCCACCTATAAAACATTTTATAAAAATTTTCTCTCAAACTTTGAGCTTGAGTAAATTTTACATTTCTAACCCAAATTATCTCCCATATACTGTATCCAATAGAATCGGCTCTTGAATATTTTATGCCCATACAGTCTTTAACTAATTCCGTTTCAGAATCCAATTCTATTAAGACATTATAAATTCTCTTTATATGAGCTCGAGTTTGATCTTTAATCTGTTTTATCAAATTCACATCCCCTAAAGTAATACCAATCTTTTGATCTAAACTCCACCTAACTAACAATTGATTATATTGAAACCAAGAGGGTACAATATTTTCTTGCTTCAACTCGACTAGAGATTTTAATTGCCAGTCCTTCCCTTCCAAACTAATTAATTCCTTATAAGAAATCCTGTCCAAATTCACTCCTCTAGATACCTCCTCTATCATGTGTCCAGGAATCCCCCAAATTGGAATTTTATAATTTAACCTATAATAATACTTCTTCCAGACCCGTAATAAAGCATTTCTTAAAATATGAGATTTAGAAACTTGATCTACTTTTTTATTATAAATTAAGTATGCATGCCAACCATATAATAAATCCCATCCCTCAAGAAGAAGTATATTTTTATTTGTTAATTTAAGCCAATTGCTAATCAGAGTTAAAGCCACCGCATCATAATTCAATTTTAAATTAGGCGCCTTAAGTCCTCCTCTTTCCCGTGCATCTTGTATAATCTTAAACTTAACTCTTGGTTTTTTCCCTGCCCAAATAAACTTATTAATACCCTTCTGCCATTCCTCCAATTTGGCATCTTTTTTCAAAATAGGTATCATTTGAAACAAAAAAGGAAACTTTGGAAGAACATTCATTTTTACCCTGAAATTCTCCCTAACAAAGATAATTGTAATTTTTTCCAATCATTTAGATCCTTTTGCACTTTTACCCACAATGTCTCATAATTATTTTTGTATAATTTGACATTAGAAACTGTAATATATATTCCCAGGTATTTAAACTTTTTTACTATTTCAAAACCTGTTAATTTAGCTAACATGTCCTTTTCCTTCATAGACATATTTTTCGGTAATATTTTAGTCTTATTGTTATTAACCTTAAAACCTGAAACTTTCCCATACTGAGTTATAATTTCCATCAAATCCTTTACCGAATCTGTCGATTGAGATAATGTCATCAGCAAAAGCTCTCAACCTATAATCATTCTGTTTTATTTTTATTCCCTTTATTGTAGTTGATTCACAAAATTTAATTAATAAAATCTCCATTGTTAAAACAAATAACAATGGGGATAATGGACATCCTTGTCTTGTACTCTTTTCAATTTTAAATGTTTCTGTTAATCCTCCATTAATTATAATTTGTGCCGATTGTTGTTGATATATAGCCTTAAGAGCATATAAAAATTTATCCCCAAAATTCATTTTCTCTACAACTTTCAATAAAAATTGCCAATTTAACTGATCAAAAGCTTTTTCAGCATTCAAAAATATCAAAGCCGCAGGAATTTGATTATTCTTATCCAGATACTCAATTAAGTTAACAATTTATCTTACATTATATTTCATATATCTTCCAGTTATAAATCCAGATTGATCACTATGAATCAATTGCTTCAAAACTTGCATTAATCTATTTGAGCTTCTGTTGTTTTTTTGAATTGTAAGTTCTTTATTTGGAATCAGGGTTTTATTTTGTAGGTTTAAGCTGGCACCTTTGTCTTTCAGTCTAGATTTAATTATCTCAGTAGCTTCAATAATTTTTTCAAGTATAAGTTTGTAATTAGCCGAAATTTGTTGCTGGTCCTCCTCCATTTTTGAGATAGTTATAAATGGTCCTTTAGTGGAGGCTATTTTTTAAACAAGAGTCAGTAAGTGTTCACCTCCACAGTTCCTAAAAGCCAATTTCACTGCCCAGCTGTTTTCTCAGTTTTTTATGTCTCTTAGATAGTACCAAAGATAGATCTGGGCTGTAAGCAGGTCTCTTGGTCAAGAATATTCATTTGCTGTACCAGACTTTGCCACAAGATGTCCCCAATAGCATTTATAGTCTTTTTCAGGATGGGCTGGATTTTTATCCTTTCAACTTTTTTACTAGTAGATAAGGTAATAGATCTCCATGAAAATAGGAACTTTTTGGGTCCCCAAATATCAAAAAGATGCAAATCCAAATACTTAGTTGTTCTTTTTAAGGTTTTTTTCCCCAAGTAGTCAGACGCTGCCATTTTAGAGGGTGGGAGGAAGACGTTCCCTTTCCTCTCTCCACAAAGGGGAAGAAATTTCAATAGGCTTTTTGCAGGAAAATACTCAGGATACAAAGAAGGTAAGATCTCACCCAATTCCTCTGCGGTGCTTTCAAAGTGCTTGATAGTAATTTTGGCCTTGACTGGTAACGGCTTAGTGATGGGCCATGTTAATGGCTGATCTTTTCCCCTCAGTTCAAAGAGTTGCTCCGGATCAAACGGGAGGGGTACTGCCCTTCCGCAATCAGTCGGAGGTCCTCTTCACACTCACTGCCCCTCCAGGGCAACTTCCAACCCTTTTCAGGGTCCCCCGGCGGGAGAAAACAGGACAGTGGTGGGAGCGGTCACCCCGCACATCCGCTAGTGCTGTGAGCACAAACCGGAAGCCCGGAAGTTTTCTTTATATGCCACTGCTTTAGTTAATTTAACATTTCTTTCCCATAACTTTTGCCAGTCTTCTAATTCTATATTATATCCAAAGTTCTTTGCCCATATTATCATTGTTTCTTTTACTTGTTCTTCCTCCATCTTTAAGTTTAACAGATATTTATAGAGTTTCTTAATCAACTTTTCATCTGTTTTAAAAATATCTGCTCAAATTCTGTCTGTTCTTTATAGAATCCCATTATTTTAGCATCTTTTCCATATCTTGTTTTGATTTGCAGATATGGCCACCATGATAGATCAATACCTTGTTCTTGTAAATATTGTCTGCCTTTCATTTCTCCTTCATTGTCCAAGATATCTTTATAGGTCACAACTCTGTCATAATTAATTAAATTTGGGTAAGCAAAAGCTTCTATTGTTGAAAGCCATCCAGGTATCTTAATGTAAATTTTTGCTTTTATTTTTTCCCATTCTGAAAGAAGTGCATTTCTTATAAAGTGGTTTTGAAAGTATCTATGTATTTTATTCTTCCCATTCCACAGAAAAGCATGCCAACCAATTTGTAGATCATGCTCCTCTAGGTATAATAGTTTTTTGTCTCTAAGCATTATCCATTCTTTAAGCCATATTAAAATAGTTGCTTGGTAGTATAACCTCCAGTCCTGCAGTCCAAATCCTCCACTTTCTTTCGCTTCTTATAGCATTTTCAGTCTAATTCTAGCTTTTTTTCCTTGCCAGATAAATTTCAGTATTGTTATATTCAGTTCATCAAAAAAGGCTTTTCCCAGCCTTACAGGAATCGTTTGAAATAAAAAGAGATTTTTGCTAAGATATTTATTTTCACTGTTGCTATTCTCCCCAGCATTGAAAGATGGAAGTTTTTCCACTTTTTCAGATCCAGTTTTATTTGTTTTAGCAATCTTACATATTTAAGCAGTTCTGCTTTCTTTCACTGCTGCCTATAACCTTCTTGCCATCTTCTCCCATTAGTGGACTGATCGTTTCCTTGACTTTTCTTGTGCTTTACATATTGAAAGAAAGTTTACTATTTTTGACATTTATTGCAAGTCTTAGTTCTTACTTCTGATTCTTAGCTTTCCTGATGTCATCTGCAAATTCAGGCTATATACTGGTATTCTGTTTTACTTATGTGTCCCTCTTTCTACTTTTTATACTTGTCTCTTTTGTCTTTCAGTTTATCAGAGTTTTTTATGCAGCCTTGCTGGTTTTGTCTGGGGTAGAGCCATGTTTTAATGCCTTTTCAGAAGGCTAGGAAAGTGGGGGCCTGCCTCACTTCTGACCACCTGACCCCCAGATTACGCCCTGAGTCTGTCTGGGGCAGTGCAACTCCATCTAAGACTAAACATGATCGACTCCTATCTATCCATAGCTACTCCATAGGGTTATTAAAGTAATAAATAAGAAAAACAGTCTGAGACTACTGAAACATCAAAGATTTTCCATTATCTCAACATACAAAAAGGCTTTACACCAGTAAACAGATATTATTAATTATGCTACATCACAGAAAAAGAATTAATGAAAATAAAATGCTATCACTTCTTTATAAGCAAACCCATTTCTTTGAGAATAAGGGCAAACAAAGTTGACAAAAATATTCAGGCACCTTGTTCAGAGTAGATGCCTGCTAGTTGTCATATAAACTAGATTCTGGTGATGTTTCAAACTGATAGATAGGACCACTCTTGCTTTCTGAATAACTCATATTTCCTTCCTTTTTTCCTCTCTGTGCAGTGAAAATTTGGTAGAATGTGCAAAGAGAGAAACTTTAGAAGAAGCTGCTTTGCATCTAACAAATGTGCAGTTTGCTTCAGTGGTAAATGCTGCTAGTTTAAAGGACAATTACCATTATGTCACCATCCTAATGAAAGGAGAAGTTGATATGAATCATGAATCTGAACCAAAGAATCTGGAACCTGATAAAAATGAAAGTAAGTTTTTAAAAAACTCTATTCATGTTATCTGCATATATGTATAATGCAAGAATTGTTTGCTGCTTTTTTTGTTTGAACATTTTTGGGTATGTGAAAGTACAAATCATATCCCTTATTTATTGATATTATATCTGGGTAAGGCTTGGGCTGCAAGTTTCCCTGATTTATCTTGAAGTAAACCGAATTAATTTCCAGGATATAGGGTACTGAAAAAGTGTCCCAGTATTACCCTTTGAGTTGTGTACTTAATATTTGTCTTTTTAAACTTTTTCTAACAGAATATCATGTCAAACTGTAAGACTCCAAAATAACTAGGCAGGTTGCAACTCAGATAATTGTAATAATAAAACAGGAATGCTTGAGTCTAATTTTATGCAGGAGAACAGTTTGTTTCCATCTGCTTCTTCTGAAGATCACTTGGTAACAAGTACTGTATGAGAAACAAAATGCTGGATTAAGATGATCTTTGAACTAATCCTTCAGGGCTACTATATTATACAGGGCTGGGCTTGTGCTTATGTGTGTCATTGAAGTAATAATTAACCAGTTGCAGCTGTCACAGCCATATGGAGCAGTCTAAAATGATGAAGTACTTTTGTGTTTCTAGGTTAAAAAAAATCATCTTTGTATCACAACAATGTGGGATTTTTAGTTTACTATTTTCCAATCACTTTCTTCCTTTATATAAACTCCAGTTTCCCAGTCTAACACTAAATCATCCTGGCAATCATTGACAGATTAATTTACTTCTTACGCTGAAACACTTCTGTTCTTTTTCTTTTTGTAGGTTGGGAATGGGTAAAATGGGATGAGTTTCCACCAGCCAATAAACTCTTCTGGCCTCTACGCTGCTTAAGAGAACAAAATTATAATCCTTTCAAAGAAGAATTAAATCATCTGATTGGATACACTGGAAATCTATAAGTTATATTTTCTGGATTTAAAACAGACAATATATCAATCGGCCCCTATGAAGAGACTTTTGTTATCAGTGTCAAGTTGTACATTTGCTCTAAATACTTGGAACCAACCTGTCATTACTGCATGACTGGCACTAATCATATTCCCTCCAAAAGCTCTATTTTGGCATATAGCTTCAGATTATTTTTCTTTATAACAGATATTTTAATACAATGATGTATTCTAGTATACAGGGGTTAATGCATGCTTGTAATACTTATGATTTTGTTATTGATCAAAGCAGCTGCAATAATGCATCCTTTATTTTATGTTACTTTGCTCTGTTGGAAAAGATGATTGTATAGTAAAAGCATTATAGTTGGCCCCATAATTGATATGATCCAGTGTAATCACAAAGGTCCATATTTTAAACTCTTCCCATTCTAATCCATTTTGCTTTCTGATTTAGAAGTATACCATTGTAAAGAAGAAAAAATACCAGCGTGCAAGCCTTTTTTCATTATAAAAACCTGTGAAACTTTTCCAATTATGAGGAAGAACTATACATTTTATGCAACTATATAACTCACATTGTGTTGTTTCTACTATATAGTTATTTTTGCATGATATGCTGAACCAAAATCTGTTCAGCCACATTAGTTCAGTGTATTGTGTGAAACTTGCCTCTATGGTTAACTGAATAAACCAGGAACTATGAAAATCCATTTCATGTGAACTCAGCCTTTAATTTTTTCAGGAAAATTCTTTTTAAACAAAAAGTGTTTGATTTGGGGATATTTTAATTGGAAAGAAAAAGGAGAAGTTAGCAGAGGACTGAGATCCAAGAGGAAAGTGCTGGTGTTTTTTTTTTTAACTTAAAACTAATATAAACAGTATTTTATAGCAAGGGATCCCAGCAGATAAGATGAACAGCAAAAAGTGAAAACAGTCAGGAATATATGCCAAGTATAACAAGTGAAATCTTAAACAGGCAGGCTGAATTCACAATGTATATCAATTTAATTTTGGCTTAATATAAAGAACCAGCCAATTCATTTAACCAATAAGTCAGCTTTTAAGAAAAAGGTTCCCAGGATGTTTGAATCCGTTCTTATTACTCAGGTTTTCTTAAAATTTACTTCTTCCTCTAGTTCATTGGGAAGGCCAAGTCCCCAGTGTTCCCATTGAAAAGCCAGCCCTTTCTCCATCATAGTCTTTCTCTCTATGGCAGAGATCCCCAACCTTTTGGTCACCAGGGACCAATTCCGTGGAGAGAAGTTCTTCCACAGACTGGAAGGGGCGTGGTTTTGTGTGCTGCCTGCATTCCATGGATGGGGCTTTACTTGTTATGTGGACCGGTTGCTGGCATGCCGCAGCCTGGTACTGGTCCACAAACCGGGGGTCGTGGACCCATTCTATGGCTGTCCTTAGCTTCTATCACTGATGTTTTCTTTTGCCCTTCCTGGTTTCTGATGATCTGGCGCCATCTCTCTCCTGTTCCCCTTGACTTCACTATCCTCTTTAATTCATTCTCTCTGATCTCCAAGATTGAGAACCAAAGCCATCTCCCGGACACACTCTGGTTGCCAGATTTAGGGCATGTTTAATGGGCCTAGCTTACTGTTAAACATTCAGGTTGTCCATGTTTAATAATCACAATTGGGACCAGCAACTCCATGATTCAGCGAGACATCACATAACCTTATGATCTCACTTCCCCCGCATTCATTAAACAAGACATCATGTGACAATACATTATTTTTAGTGAAAACCTACTATTTTATATTTAAAACCTTTTATTCACTACAAACGTATACAACCTGATTGTGAGTGAATCATACTAGTAAAATTCATATATTATTTTATAACCTCATGCTGTTTGTATGCATTGAGCTACAACTCTCATGACAAAAAGCCTAGAAGTGGGAGTGCTGGTAGAATATTACAAACTAACACACATGCAAAGTAGCAGGCTGGGGAAGTCTCATCTAAATAATATTGTCAATGCTGCTAACATTGGATGTTCGTGCTTAACAATATATGAAGATGCAGACATTTTCTATTTAACCTGTGTGTTACTTTTAGAGTTAAAATTAGATGGTGCTGGAAGGGAGGAGGGGGGAAAGAATGTGCTTGGCCACTAGTTAGCCATAACAATATCTCAGTAGAATTCTTCAAAGTTAGTTGTAATAAGAGGAGATAACTGGAGGGAAAGTTCACACTTCAAACTAATTGGAGAATGTGATTAATGACTTAAATGAAGGAGTCAGTTATGCTTTTGTTACTGTGTGCTTGGGGGAGGAGAATTTAGATTTTGGCTTCACTATGTAGGTGTGGAAGCTATGTTGCAAATTAAAAGATTCTTTAAGGTAAACAATGCCTCAAAGTTCTTTGAAAAGCTTCATCTTTCAGAACCATGACAAATATTTTCTGATTTTATGCAATTGGAAAGATTATTGGATCTAAAGCTCCATTAGAATCCATTACTCATACAATGCTTCTGTTCATGGGGTTGAAGAATGGAATTTTCTCCCACATCTCTGCTGCTTGAAGATCCATTTTGAAAGACTGGAAGACTTACCATAAAAATGTATTAAGGAATCAGTGACATTTGCTCCTTGCAATTCTTTGCTGTTTACAGAACAGTATCTGTTCACATTCAACAGCTAACTTGCAACTTCATAGATATTTATTTTGTGCAAAAACACTGTTATGAGTAAACAATTCCAAAATAAATTATGTCAGAGCATAACATATTTCCAGTGGCTATCGCCACCCTGTTTCCAACAATTATCTGAAATTCTGGATAAAGTCATATTCATCAAATACAAGAGAATGATTCTCATGAATTTGTAAGTTTCCTCCTTGGTACCACAGCCTCCATCTGGAATGCAGAATATGTATAATGATGATATACAATTTTCTTTTTCTGATACAATCAAGTTATTCAGATACATGCCCTAATCGGAGTCACTACTGCTACTTGAGGAATCTGTTGACATAACCTCTACATCATCCTCATTCTCCTTATTATGTCCAGGAGGTTCTAAAATAAAGTCATTGCTATGATTAGGAGGAAGCATGTTCATTGACATGTCACTTGATTGCCAGGGATACTGCGGTGCAAGAACATCTGAAGAAAAAAGAAATCTACAATTACTCCATGCTCTATTTGTTTTTTTTAATAATATATTAAAATGACATGGAAGAACCTTCTGACTGACAATCAGAAATTCACAGTATAAAATTGCACATCAGTTTTACAAAAATCAAAATAAACTAGCCACACAGTAATTCCCACTGATTTCAGAAGACAGAAACATACTATTTTTCCCATTAAATCCTCTGATGCTAAGACTGCCTTAAACAGGTAGTCCTCAACTTACAACCATTCATTTGATGACCAAAATTACAACAACTGTCTCATTTAGCAACAGAAATTTTGGGCTTAATTGGGGTTTGTAACTTGAGGAGTACCCATAATAAAATTTGTTAATCTAAAAAGATGATACCAGATTCCTGATTTCAAACTATACTACACATGCTTAACAGATAAAAATAATTGAATCAACTAATATTCCTCTTAAATTTTTTAACAATTGATTTTCCACTGGGGCACAACTGTTTACTGTATACCTTCTCCCTTTGCAAATTGAATGGACAGCCAATAGATAGTGTTAAACAACTGGACAAACACCCTTCTTGATATAAATCAAATGACCTCCTCCAAGCATCAAAACTGATTTCCCAGAGTAAAACAAATTTCTTCCATAATAAATGTGACATATTTCCGATGTACAATGAAGTTATAACCAGTGGCCATAATTAATTTTTTTAAAAAAAATATTGCTGGTAGTAGAAGATCAACAAACCACCTCAAATGTAACTTTGCAATGGTCAATGTCTATTCTTTTTGCCTCTACCTACCTATCTTTCTACCAAGCAGCTCATAAAGCTTTCCAACAAGCATATCAACAGCTACAACTGGTTCTCCTGCAGCATTTGTGTTATCCTCTATTACCTTGAGCCAAGACAGTGCAACCTCAGAGGATACAGAATGTTAAGGTGTAAGTAATGGTGAAATGATATGCTGATTAGTTAAAGGAGGTGGATATTTTAAGGATATACTAGTGATTCTGCAAGAATTCAGTGGCATTTACAAGCATTCTGCTGCCAACCTGGGCTTTAGAAGAACCTAAACAAAGCTCTCATGATAGACAAGACAGCAAATAAAAGCAGTTATTCTTTATGCTATCTTCCATTTATTTTAATTGGTCAATAAGCCAATTTGCTTTTCACTCTCACATCAACCCTAGAAATCTCTGGTTTAACATGTACCTCACTTTTTTGTACTATTTTCCAAGCCACCCTTCTGTTATTTTTGTTTAATTTATTTCTCAGGCTATTATCTCAAACTATCAGAATCTTGACTTCTTTAGAAATTCATGTGCTTAACTCTTCTTGCCATTAATAAAGCTTTATTTTTTCCACTAAAAAAAAAATCACATGATTTCCACTAAAATCATCCCTCAGAAGTCTTCTTTCCTCTAAAATTAGCAGTATAGGCACTTCCACCAAAAAAGCATTTTACAGAAAAAGAAGGCAACTTTACTCCCTCCATAGTTCTCAACTTCAGTGGTAAGATGATGCTGATATTCCAATTGTCCCCACCCCCGGAGCCCTGATAGTGCAGTGGTTAGAATGCAGTATTGCTGGCAAATTCTGTCCACAACCTGGAGTTTGATCCTGATCAAGCTCAGGGTTGACTCAGCCTTCCATCCTTCTGAGGTTGGTAAAATGAGGACCCAGATTGCTGGAGGCAATATGCTGACTCTGTAAACTGCCCAGAGAATGCTATAAAGCACTATGGGATAGTATATAAGTTTAAATGCTGCTAAGTGCTAAAATCTGAAAACATCCTGATCTTATCCCCCTCTACTGCATTTCATAGTGTCACTTGTTTTTCCATTACAGACCAGCTTTGATTTAAAAGTTAGAAATAATCTCCTGATAAAATACTAAATCTAAGCTTTTTTAAAACAATCAATTCTTTTATTCAAGCCTGTGCAAATAATGTACACACATTTCAGTACAGTGATCAACAAATACTTTTAATATTTTCATTTTTAATCTCTTTGAATATATTTCAATCTATTTTTATTTTAAATAAATTCATTCTTAGTTTATTTCAAGTGACCTGTCTTTATTTTCCTAATTTCATGAACATCTGTGATGTACATTTGCCTTGCCTAAGGTTCCATGTTGTATATCCTGTACATGTATATGCATTTTATAAAGTGTGCATATCAACACATTTGACAGCAGACTCATGTCTCTCAAATTTCTATTACCTGGCAATCTTCCAGCTGCAAGTGCATCTCCTGGTAAGTGTCCATTAACTCCATTTGCTGAAGGATTGTTCATCTGACCCAAAAGACCACTTCTCATCTCCAAATCAGTTGGATATGGTCGTCGGGGATCCCCTTAAAAAATAATAGTAATAAAATAACATAAATAAAAATAAAATAAAAATAATTTTGTTTGCAATTCTAAATAAACAAATGTAAAGCAAATATATAATAATGGTTTTTTTTCTTGTTGTGATTATTTTTACTATTGCTTTCATTTATCTTTATTACTTGTTTAAACCTTCTGTAAACCACCTGAAGTCATTCATGAATGGCCAGCTTTAGAAATAGCATAAATGAACAAATAATTTATTTTCCTGTCACACTCTTCATAAAAAAAAAATCTAAGTTAACAGCTACTTACTTGGTAACACAAAGCATGCATTGTGTATTCTGTAGTCAGAAATTCAGAGTCAAAGGAAAAAAGATTGCAGCATTCAGGAGAGTATTGGCAACTCCTTAAAGCAGCTGCACCTTTTCTCAGGCTGCTGCTATAGCTTAATTCTAGAAGGCAGATTCAAGGAACTGCATGCTACAGTCTCACTCACACACACACACACACACACACACACACACACACACACACACACACGGGCTCCAAAGCATCTTTTCACCTTAAAAATCCCAAGCCCCACATAAGCCTCCCAGGTTAGAAAATAAATATTTTGCCTTACCTATCAAATTTACCAAGTAGTAGTATACATAGACATACTTGCAATTAACAAAGAATATGTAAATACCTACTATCAGTAAAAATAAGATGATATATACATATTTATTATTTACCTGGCACCCAAGTCAGAGGAGCACAGACAGCATTGCTGGCACTAATTCTATGAGCATATTTAATTATTTCTTCAGAAGAAATAGCTCCTGTAAGAAATGTGGATACAATGAATGCATGCAGCCATCCATTTTGTAACATAAAATTCACTACTAGTCCTTTCAAGTAAAAAATGTAGAAGCACTAACATTATAAAATGATCTTTTCCTTTCATTTTCCTTAGTCCATTCTTTCTTTTTGGCAGTTCTATGTGCATTTCAATCTCTCTTCTATAATGGAAATTTATCTTAAAAGGTGATACACTGTCATATGGTATGATGATTCACATGAGAAACTCTGAAATACCCAAATGAAAATAATTTCTGTGTCCTCAAATTAAATTCTTGTGCAAAAATGCAGTAAAAGCCAAACACTCAGAACATTCCTTTCTGCTGATTCATGTATATATTACAGACAGCAACAGAGACATTACAGTAGTTTTACTTTCTGTTCTGCTCTATAATTCTACATAATTAAATTACAGTTCCCAGGTGTGCTCTATTGTAAAGAATGCTGGGGGTTCCAATTTTCAAATCTCTGGAAAGCCACTGTTTCCCCTTCTCATAATTATATCTAGCATCCTGTGAAGCACTGTCTTTACCACGCTGGAGAAACTAAATCAAGAATATGTGTGTGATGCAATTGCTCCTTTTAGTTTCACCTCAATCCTCTTCTAAATAGCTGCTCCGGCAGGAAGCTGTTGTTGGACTCCAAGATCTCATAGAAAATTGCATAATTTTATTTAATTTGCTTTGGTCATAGCTGTATCAAGGTGCAAATGCCTGAAAATGCTTTTGACTGAACAATAAATTATATGTAGTGCTACTGAACTGTTATTTTTCAAATGTACCATGAATTTTTAAAAATATATAATTATTGAAGAAAATAAATGATTAAACAAATATTTATAAATTTCATAAGACATGCAATGATCAATTTATGGTTGTGGAAACAGACTTCCTAAGAAATAATTAAAAACACTTACCCTTTCTTGCCTTTTCTATTGATTTCAGTTTTTCTTTTGCTTGATAAACAGCTGTAGCCTGTATGTAAAATACTATTTATTGTTATGCTGATTTATAAAAAGCATATTAATCTTTCATAAATCCTCTTAAAAGAAATTAAAATTAGTTTAGTATAAGAAATATGCAACTTATCCTAATCAAGGGAAAAGTTTAAAAAAAATGGCTTGGCTATTTAACAGAATCCCAAGAATGTTTCTGCACTTCTTTAGGACTATATTTCTAACTAATGTGCTAACACTAACAACAAAATCTTGATCCAGTGCCTGGTTTAAAATTGTACTAAACCATAGTTTAATCATGGGCTATTAAACAAGAACTGGCTGGCTTCATACAAAATGCTAAGACAAAAACTAAATTGACTGATTTTGTACAGCATGCTAGCCAAATTATGGCTTTGGTCCAAAGAATTGTACAATTCAACCTCTTGCTTAATTACAGTTGCATATGCTGTATAAATTCAGGCAACAATTTTACAACCAGAGGTTGCAGGCTTACAGAGCCATTATATCTTATTTGGTAACATGCTTTAGGATTTATCTAAAATACTCACATGGTTTTGGCTAGCACATCCAAATATCAAGAAAAAAAAAACCCTGCAGACTAGCACAGAGAAAGAAAACAATTTCAAGAAAGTAAAAACAACTTTGGCTTGCAGCAACATGGCAACCAAGGAAAGGAAGAAATTAAAAATAACTAGCCTAAATTTGCATTTACTAGGTACATTTAATACTAACAAACTATACCAAGTTTCTATATGACTGATTTAATAGGCACAAACATTAAGACATCGAGCACTTCACTCACCAAAATATGCTCTGCTTCTTTTAGTTGTTTTTGAAGTTGCTGAATATCATTGTCTCTTTTCTCTATAACTTTTTCCAATACCTGCATTTCATGGTGGATTTTCCCTTGATCAAGAGCTAGTTTCATCAATTCTTGGAACTCTTTATCCCGCTGAATTAACAATTCCAGGATCTGTACAATAAATAATTATATATTACAGGAAAATGTAACTTGTCAATTTCAGGATTTCCAATAAAATCAAATCTTGTAGTTGTTTTTGTTGTCACAAAGTAGCTATCTAGATTTTCTAATAGCTCTAGTTATAAATCTCAGGGCCTGAATAAAAAAAATGTATAAAAGTGTCCATGTAACAACATTACAGTAAAAGTAGAGAAGCAGACATATTAGTTTATTTTTCAGGCTGGTCAATGTAGATAATTAACAAAATATTTTTTCTATAGTTTTATAAGATTTTCAAACTGTTTACCTGGCTCTCTTCCCCAGGTTGTGCTAGCTTCTGGTTTCTTGAAATTGCCAAAACTTCAATCAGTTCTCTAAAGGAAAACAATGTAAGTATGTGACCAAAAAGGAGACAGTTTTAGTGTATTACCTATTCCTTCAAAGCAAATAAATTAAGTCTTCCTTTCATCTTAAATTTCACTCCCGTTATTTCAGCTAATCAGGGAAAATCCAGTTAGGTTTAATATTTGAGGGAAATAATTGTTATAAAAATATGATTGATAAATGCAGTTAGTAAAAAAATTAAAACAATGTAAGTGGTCTTATAGTAAAAAGATAACAGATGGGGATGGGGATTCTAGTTTTAAAAATATATAGTTTGTGAAATTCAGCCAGACAGAGCATGGTGTTCAAAGTGGACATCCTGTCTATGATGGACATTGTAGTTTTTTTCCCCCCTTAACTGTGAAAAAACAGTAATTTCTTTTTTTCCCTAGTCATCAATTGCTAACGACTATGGATTGTCAAGTGAAGTAGCATTTGCAATGTAAAGCAAACCTTTAAAATTCTGCTCAGAGACGCATCAAAATGAACGTACACTCAATTGGAAAAAGTAATTTTTGCACCCCACAAACTTGAACATTGATATGTAAAATGTTTGAAGAACAATTTTCAACAAAATCCAGATTCAAAAAAGAGCAAATTTTATTTTCCGTTTCTAACACATCGGGAGCACGCTTCCCTCAATTGATGCTTCCCACGTCTGTTCATGAACGTCTTCCAGCCCTCCACTCTATGATTAACCTAGCCAGATTGGGCTACTAAGGCACTAGGTCAGAAACCAAGTGAGTTGAACTCATGCCTTAGCCAGGAAAGCCACCTGGATGACTTTGGCGAGTCTCTCTCACCCCAACCCACCTCACAGGGTAGTTGCTCTCGTGGGGAAAATAGGAGGAAAAAGTATTGAACGTGTTCGCCGCATTGAGTTATTTGTAAAAGTAATAAAGGCGAGATATAAATAAATAGTTCATTTTGTCACGTGAACCTAGAAATTAATCATTTGAAATTGGGTACTTATTAACCGTCCAATAACGTTATGCGCACGTCGCGCCCCGAGTCCCGCTTTAAACCACCCCGTTGGCTAAGGATAGGAGTCCGGAACGAAGACGACGACGACAACAACAATAATAGCCCTGAACATTGACTGTCTTAATTCCTGGTTAGGCTATTCCACGGCAAGCGCAAAGTCCCGCAGCGAAGCGCAGCCCAGAACAGGTCCGCGGCGCGACGCCCACCTGGCCAGCAGCTCCAGATCGTCCAAGGCAGACAACAGCCTCTCCCTGGTGCTGCTCTGGTCCCCGCTCGCTCCGGCCGCCATCTCTGCTGGCCGGAAGAGGAAGCCGCGAGAAGAGCTCCGAGAAGCTGCTGCGCTCAGTGAGGTGAGAGCGGCCCCTGGTGACCTCGGCGTTAAAGCCTGCGCAGGGAAAATAGGGAAATTCACGCGGCTTTCGGCCCCAGATGTGTTCCGGAACCTCGCATTAATTAATGAGACTGTTTGTTCCCTGCAAGCGCTCCTGCTGGGAAAGAGAACCCCGTTCATTGGGGCCGTTTCAACGGAAGGTGGAAGATAAGAGGGTGGCCGGCCTATTACGCGCGCATTTAACCTCTTGCATCTCTTCATAGGTTTCGGCCAAGGGAAGGCCTCTTTTCCCCCCCTGCATACCATCCGAATTCGTTGCGGGGGGGGGAAGCGTTTGAAACGTTCACAATAGCATAAATAAAATTAAAGCTCTTTGGATAAAAGGCAGGAAAAAGGAAGTTTTCTTCGGAACTACTGTATGTTGGGAAAGGTGGAACGCAAAACGACATCAGCAGCAAGTAGAAAGACTGTTATATAGTCGGTGGCTGTCACCGTTGGGAGACTTGAAAGGCCCGGTTAGGGATAGATCATTATGGAGAAAATCTGTCTGCAGTCGTTAGGAATAGAAAACAACTCGACGCTACGTAATCAAATCCCTAAAATACTTTGAAGGAGGGGCGGAGCAACTGGGGCGTCAAAGCACCAACTTAAGCTTTCTCAGGGTATGCATAAAGCCCAAGGGGCTCAGAACGTCTTACGCGCCGCCAACGCGTGACAACTGTCTTTGGCGTCTCCGCCGGGGGTTTCCGCTTCCTTCCTGGAGCAGGAAGAAGAGTACTGTAAATCCATCAAGAGGCTGGGCCGCCTTCGGATCAGTTCCTGTCTTTCTGCGCAGGCGCGGGGCGGGCGGGGCTGTTCTCGAGAGCGGCGGGGCTCCGCTGGAAGGAGGTCAATCATGGCCGCTTCCGTGATCTATACGCGGATGGTCACCGCGGCCGCCCGGCAGCTGAGCTGGTGCCAAGGTGGCAGCAGCCACGCGAGTTTGAATGCTGCTGCCAAGGTGAGCGAGAGGGCAGTGATCCCTAGCAGGGAAGGGAGGGTCAGCTGCAAGAGATACACACTGCCCCGAGGCGCCCCGAAGGGGATCGGGTGCCTCCTTGCCTTGTCTCGCCTCCTTGCTTTGCAGCAAAAGAGCACACATGAAGGGCAACTGCTGCTCCGGCCATTCTTCCAACCCTCATCCTCTCCTCTTCGAGTGTCTGGCCGCTATGCTGGCTTATTTTAGCACCTCTCGGTGTTGGAAAGAAGAGTTGATGCAGATGAAAGCAGAGAGGGCTGGCCGGAATGGTGTTGGGGATCCTGCCAAGGAAAGTTCAAACTCTGAATTTCAGGTTGAAGAATAGTGAAGAGAGTTGGGATCACTTGGCTAAAGCAAGGTCACTCAGAAAGATCATGACATGTGTACTCTTTCACTATGCTTGTGGCATCATAAAGGGAAAAGCAAGGTACATTATCAAAGATTGCATTTATGTATTTTGGATGCAGGTTTTGCTTAATTACAAGTGGAACAGCTACAGTAAGGTCTGTATGAGCACTGAAATTCGATATCTTTTTTTGGAAAGAAATAAGATATTGATAACTCTTCTACACTTGAGGGATAACATTCTGGAGTGCTGTTGATTGTCATTGTGTATTGATAGTTGGGGGAATGTGTGTGGAACTTTCAGACATCTTTTTAAGTATACAGCCTTGAGATGAAGGTGCCTCCTTAGAACAATTCATATACTGCAATACTATAACTCACTCCTGTTAATAGATTCTTGTGACCATGTCTTTATTGAACATGCTAAGCTAATATTCACTGCTTTTGTAGGAAATGATATGTGAAACCTTAGGATAATCAGCTATCTTAGGGATACATTGAATCACATTTCAGTGAGTGAGATGGCAATCAGAGTTTAAGGGCTCCTCCCCTATAAACAAACATGCACATTGATTGCCATCACTGGAATCTGCTCTTCATAGGTTTATAGAACTGAATCTTGCCCCAGTCAAAAGAGATGCAGGCAGTCTTCATGTTGATGTTCAGGAGTCTGGAAAGAGCTGCCAAATTCTTGCTAAAGATTCTAGCCTCCGTCAATCAATAGTAAGCCATTACTGTACAAATGGAGATGTCAAGGTTCCGACTAATGAAACATTTCAAAGAACATCCAGGCATTGTTCATCCTAAAAAGTCTTTTTATTCATGTGACAAAATGTCGGCATGGCATGAAGAAGGGATGCTAAGATCTGAAATCTCCACCCCCCCAGCAGTTATTTTTGCTAGCATTTTCCCTCCCTTATTTTGCTGTCATGATTTATGTTCTCCAATTAGTTTGAAGGGCAAAGGCACAGTCCCAAGCTGGATCATAAGAACAGGAAGAAATTTAGGATAGCCACTTCCTAGAATCTTCTATGCTGTAATGCTAGCAAGATTCTGTCTATATGGTATGAGAAAATACAGAATTTTGGCCAGATTGTGTTACATCGTTCTTGGGCTAGGACTGATACTTACCTATTAAATATTTTACCTTTTAATACTTCTAGAAAAGGTCCTACTCTGGATGTTCAATAGGAATTAAGTTTCTTTTAGTCTTAACTCTTCAGTTTTGGGAATCTCTGTCATTAAGAAAGCCATCTCAATCTTGGCTGCCAGATGTTCAGTCAGTTCCTATACAGTATTTTGTCACTTTGCTATCTTAGCTGGGCATCCTAGGAAATTAACTCAACATCTAGTAGATGTTTCAAATGTTTCTGTAAGCTTTTTAATATTTTGTCAGCAAACTGCCAGAGACAAATGGCATGTGAATGAAATTGAATTAAATCTGATTTCTCTGAGGACAGTTAGAATGGTTTTGTAAAAAGGCATCTAGTTAGATTTTAGGGGATCTTAGAAATGTTTATAATTACCTAATCAGTAATTATGTCAGTGCTCTGGTTGATAAGAGAAATAGGGAACAATGTTACTGCAGTTAACATAGCTATTCTTTGGTGCATGTCAATCTACTTAAAGATGGTCCTGTGGTATAGAAACAACTGTCTGAGCTAAAGCACCCTGCTAAGTAGCTAAAAGCAAACCTGATTCAAATCCAATGAGATACAATGTAAAGCCAATTTAAAATGCTGTGGCAATATCCATTGCAAAACCAAATTTCTTTCTGCATGTGTTGTGACCTGAAATCGCAGCCTGTCACATTGTTTTGAGTTATGAGAGGTTTGACTTCTAGGCCTATCTATTCCCATTCCCTCTGAGGCTTGTTGAAAGGAAGGCTGACTCACCAAGAAGTTTTGTTTGTCCTGTTTTATTTATCCAACTGTTTTCAAAGACCTGTTTTCAACTGTAAATTTACTATATCCTGAATGATTAAGAAAGTGAAGGCTAGTTGAACTTACTTCAAGCAAGCTCTTTTTCCTTTGACCCCCAGATGCTCTACTCACAAGAAAACCACAAGACTTTCATCCCAAAGTCTACTCAGGAGGAGCAGCTGTCTAGGACACAAGTGGGCAATCTCCCATTCTCTCCATTATGTGAAAACTTTTGCCCACCAGAAATCAACACTAGGCACCATTCACTATTGCTACAACATCCCCATTACTTCGCATGTGTTCAGTATATCATAGAAACTCAACCAAAAGCTTCATTTTAAAGCTTTTAGGATGTTTTAATCAGATGATTGATGCATTTCAAAAGGAACATCTAGAAAGGGAAATATTTTGTCTCGTGGAAATGTACATGTAATTACCTTTTCAATAAACTGGAAAAGTTATTCATTACATCAGAGTAATTAGAATTACTATGTGTATGTGCGTTATGTATACATACATATGTCCGTACACAGATTCTTAACAAACAGCGCTGAAATATATGGAAAAGAAAAAAGGCATACAAGCAAATACAAATACAAGCAAATTTATCATATTGCCTCTTTCAGCCTTTCTCAAAAAACCTCCTTAATTCATATATTGATAGTTCATACATATCTGCAATCTATTTAATCCAGTAGATTCAATGTGCACAATTTATGTATAAAGAAAATAAAGAACTATAAGAAGTGGTAAAAGGCATTGTGAAAACTGGAACAGAAAAAAAAATATTCAAATTTTAAAGACCAAAAGATCAAAGTCCAAAAGCATTTAATCACATGATGGTTTGTAATCATAAATTGTTTATATGGGGCTTCAGTATCGGAAATGTTATATTTGAAGAAACAGACCTTTCATCTCAGCCTGTGAATTTCTATGAACCAGAGGTTTTTGATCCAGTTGGTAGTTATACACTATACTTCTGCAAAGGCCAGGCTGCTTAGTTATAAGAATAACGCTAAAGGATTAATTAAAAAATTTGTTCAGTTGTGAAAGCTGTGTTCTAATTTCCACAGGTCCTAGGTGGAAATCCAGTTTTATTTAATAGACGTGTATTTCAAGTTCAGCAACGAAGGAACTTATCACTACACGAATACTTGAGTATGGAATTACTGAAAGATGCTGGCATTTCTGTTCCGTACGGACTGGTTGCGCAGACACCAGAGGAAGCTTACAACGTTGCAAAAAAAATAGGTAAATGACCAAAGGGAATATGTACAGTAAAATTTATAGCTTGATGCAGTAACCTGTTTTCATTCTTCCAATGAGATTTGGGGCACTTCAAACATGTGTATTTATTTTAACCCCCACTCCAGAGTCTATCCATATGAATTATTTACATTGGAAACATGTAAATGCTTAGCTATTATAGTAGATGTTGGGAAGATGATGTAAATTTCAATAGTTCTTCAGGCTGGAATTAATTGGTATTAACAGATAAGTGCTACTAATTTTTTATATTTTATCCTGTATTATCTAATCACCTAATTAAAATTACTAAATGACCTAAAAATTAAAAATATTAATTAAAATTAAAAATTAAACAATACCCAATTTAAAAACTCCATTAAAAAGTAGCGCAGCTTTATGATAGCAGCTGTTTCAGCATAATAACCTTTATGATTGAGCTTCTTTACAGTTCAAGTGTTCATAGTGGCTATTAATTATTAAATTTTTATCCCACTTTTGTATATATAACTCAAGGCATACCCAATACTCCTCCTGCTGTTTTCCCCACAGCATCAATCTTGTGAAGTGATGGGTTGGGTTGAAAGATATAGTGACTAAAGTTAAGTTTAATTCATTCAGGTTTAGGGATTTTATTTTGCTACATTTCATGACTAAGCATACTCAGACAAATGTGAACCCTAATTACTTTTTAATTGGAAATGATGTCAAAAGGAAAGTCACTTTTTCTTCCAAAAGTGCTAAAATATTCTTGATTTTTAACGCTCAAACATCCTATGACCTCATGCTGAGCTTATCTAGAAGTGAAATGTTTGGTCTCAGCTGACTGCTTACTGACTGCATTTGTGATAGTAATCTCCTTTCACTAACATCTGTCCTATTGCACTTCTGACCTGTTTTAGTTAAAAAAAACAAACAGCAAAGTTACATCTTGAGAAACAAGTTCATAATCATTGGAATCTTTCTTGGTGTATTTTTTTGGCTTGACACCAAGGATACTTTACAACGATAAAAAGTTGATTTCATTTTTTTCTTCACTACGCAGAGGAGAGTTTCTGTCTGAGTGCATTATTTTATCACTGATTTTCAAAGCTAGATGTACAATTGCTATAGATTAAAAGATAACATGTGAT